ATCAACAAGCTATCAAAGATTTGGTCATCTTCTGCCAAGAACAATATCAAGGCAATACTAACGAACTCAAGTTAATCAATGAATTTCAACGTACTTATCATCGAACATTAGCGTTATGGTGGTATACACGCCAATGTTTCACCTTCAAAATGCTCAATCGTGCATTACGAACACTCGACGGTGACCTAATCATTAGAATGGGATTTTATCTATGTGATGTTCATCGACAAATCGAAGAATTACACAGCCAACAGGTCAGTCAGCATCATGGGGAATCCTTTTTAGTTTATAGGGGTCAAGGCTTCTCGACAGACGATTTCGATAAACTCACAAAAAACAAAAATGGTCTCATATCTTTCAATAATTTTTTATCCACCAGTACAAAACGAGATGTTTCCCTCGGCTTCGCTAAAGATACCTTAGGAACAACCGATATGGTTGGTATCCTTTTTCAAATGACCATCGATCCCACAATCTCATCGACTTCTTTCGCCTCCATCGAGGAAGTGAGTTATTACAAGGGTGAAAAGGAAATTCTCTTCTCGATGCACACCGTCTTTCGAATTGGTGAAGTTCGAAAAGTTGACAAGGAAAGTCCACTTTATCAAGTGGATCTTAAACTTACGTCGGATGATGACCAACAACTTCGTTGATTAGCCGATCGTGTAAGAGAAGAGGTCGACGGCACTGGATGATATCGAATGGGTAAATTGCTGCTCAAAATAAGTCAATTTGACAAGGCCGAAGAATTATATACGGCACTACTAGAACAGGCTTCTCACGACAGTGATAAAGCACATATCTATCACCAGCTTGGATGGTTGAAAGACGACCAAGGACAATATACAGAAGCAGCTTCATTTTATGAAATGTCTCTCGAACTTTATCGAAAAACTCTACCAGAAGATCACCCTTCATTGAGTTCTATCTACAACAACATCGGTCAAGTGTATAACTACATGGGTGACTACTCGAAAGCACTTGAATTTTACGAAAAAGATCTTGAAATCACGAAAAAAGCTCTGCCTCCGAATCATCCCGATTTGGCTACTTCCTACAACAACATCGGTCTCGTGTATAACAACATGGGTGACTACTCGAAAGCACTTGAATTTTACGAAAAATCACATAAAATTTTCGAAAAAGCTCTGCCTCCGAATCATCCCGATTTGGCTCAATCCTATAACAACATCGGTCAAGCGTATAACAACATCGGTGACTACTCGAAAGCACTTGAATTTTTCGAAAGAGCACTTAAAATAAGAGAAAAAGCTCTGCCTCCGAATCATCCCGATTTGGCTCAATCCTACAATAACATCGGTATGGCGTATTTCGGTAAAGGAGACTACTCGAAAGCACTCTCATTCTTAGAAAAGGCACTTTCTATCTGGCAAAAATCACTTCCACCTAACCATCCTTATATTATAATGGTCACAAACTCAATTGACTATGTAAAAAAGAAGATGTAACTGTAATTTTTTCTTTTCACTTGCTCAATAAATTTATTCACATTGCTAATCGTTTCAATTTTTTTCGGCTCATTTTGGCTTATCCGCGCGCGCGCGACAAGGGAGAGATCCCTTGTCAATGCCATAGGTACCACAGGCGGACCACGCCGGACTGATAGGGCAATGGTCGAAGGTATGCCGTATGAACGGTAGGTACCAACGGACACATAGAGGCCTTCCCTAGTACTACACTGCTTCGCTATGGCACGAAAGTTCCTCTACCTATTGAATCAGACAACGTAGTTCTCTGACCCACACTAATAACATTCATAACTCAACTCATCTCGTCTCAAAAGTACTCATACTCAAACTCATAATAACTGATAGTATTTATTTTTTCTCGAAATAACTTATCTCAACTCAACTCAACTCAACTCAACTGAATATATAAAAAAAATTTTTTTCCTACCTCTCAATATCGTATAGTATCGAAACGCATCTAAAAAAAAGAAAAAAAAAGTATTATTAAATATATAATGAATTTATTATTTACCTCATATAGAATTTAATAATATCATTATCATTGTAAATAATATCATAATAATAATAAACCCGGGTATATAAATACATTGTAATGCATTATAATAATACAACTCGAGTGTATGATTTCATAATGATGTATGCATGTTTTTATATACTCGAAGATTAATTGACCGATGTTCAAAATTTTGATTGATTTTTTATCAATCATTCTACTTCTATTTTAATTGATTTGATGATTTTTTTTCTCGTCTAACATACATCTATATCATGTCATCGTCGACGAAAAAAAATCTTCATGTTACATATATATATAGGGTGTTGTCTTTCTCCTTCACATTGCTCATCTTCAAATAAGAATACAAGATAAGAGAATTCATCAACACGAGTAACTTAAAAAATAGGTGTGTTTTATTTTTACAAAATGTGATCTTTATTTTAAGAATGCCTGAAATATATACATGTCTAAATTATATAGAATAAGATAGCGTTTGTCTCCCTACTGAACAATATATTTTTTATTGGACGCCTTCATTATCTTCAATATATATATTTATTTTAATTAACATTTTAAATAATCGATTTATATAATAAGATGTTTCTCTTGTTTTTGTTATTATAATCTGGCATGTGAACGCTCTATTCAAAAAAAGGAGGAATAGGGAGGATTGCCATTGAAAATTTTTAGGAGGATCTGGTATCAAAAAGGAGGAAAATAGGAGGATTTCTGTTTTCTCGTGGAAAATGTATTCTATGCAGCACTTTAAATTATCACGATGCTTTTTTATTGTCTATACGACATTCGATAGATAGCCACCCTTTATTTCCACAACATAAATCCTTGGTTTTACACAATGTACAAATGAATGAATGATAATTTTACACCTTGGTTCAGTCATCGCTTAACAGGAATATCATCTGAATTTATTTTTTTCAACCATGAAATATTAAATCGTGTTATATGAAGAGGTATTTAACGAAAACGTAGTTATCTAATAATAGTTTTCTTGAAATGATTGGATATAGTCCTCTAACAAAAAGTGTATTTTAATTTTCAAGAAAAGTTTTCTTTTAACTCGAGTTTTCGACAATTCCTCATTGTAATCGTCAGAACATGACCACCCAGGTCAATCACGCTCGGCAGTAAACGGCCGTCCACTAATCAAATACGGTGAAAAACGGCAACTGTTTATGTTAGTCATATACAGCAGCCGTAAACGATGATTTACAGCATATTACGGCAATCGTACACAGTGTCCGTAAAAATTCATCGTAAACTACTACCGTAACAATACGGTGACTGTATACTTTGGTCGAAAAACAATGTAAGGCGTCGTATACGTCAGCCGTTTGCGGTGGCTGTTTACAATGGTCGTATCTGTTGCTTTACGGCATGCTACGACAATTGTAAACATTGACCGTAAAGTATTGTAGGATACGACTAGCGTGACAACACGACGACCGTATACGCTGGTATTATAAAATGTCGTAAAACACAGTGTACGTGAGCAGTATACAGTAGTCCCTTACGGCGATCGTAAACGACATTTTACGATGATTTTGCGGCCGACGTAAACAATTGTCATAAACAGCAACCGTGTACGGCTTCTGTAACAATATGCCGATTGTATACGCTCATCGCATAATATCGCGACGTACCGTCTTTGTTTATTGTAATTCGTTCGATATAGAATCACTATTTGTTATTGTATTTCGTCGCAAACGATCGTTAATGTCGGCGAATTTCTATTATTGAATATCAATAACATACTCTCATGATGGCGTATACTAGTCGACAGTTAACAAAAGTTGCGTTTCTACAAAGTCGAGAAAGAGTCACGAGAATTCCAGCAGTGTACCTTAATCGAAAAATAGTCTTTTCTGAGTCTTTTTCCGACTCACCTTATCCTATACATCTGGGTGCCCCTCCTGTTCACCCTCATTCGAGCTCAGTGCACATTGTGAGTAACAAGTAAGAAAAACCGATTTTCAAACACCGTTGCTTGACCTATCAAAAGTCTTCCCTTCGGTATTCTTGAGACTCACCGTACTCTAAATATAGGGCGGCACCGCCTATCAACCCTCATGCCGCTTGGGTACAAAGCTTCAGTAACAAGTGCGAAAAATCGATTTTACAGCACTGTTACTTGGCCTTTAAAAAGTCTTCCTTTCAGTCTTTTCAGGCCCACCTTACCCTATATATATGGGTGCACAACGTGGTCGTAGTCATTTGAGTTCAGAGTCAGGTATGACTAACAAGTATGAATAATAGATTTTGGAGGAGTATTATTTGATCAAAAAAGAGTCTTTTTTTAGTCTTTTTAAGTCTCACCCCCTACTATATAAAGGGCTGCAACACGAGCTCGTTGTCATTTCAATTGAGATTCAGGTATGAGTAACAAGTATGAACAATCGATTGTTTAGCGGATGATTTGATGGAAAGAGAGTCTATTTAAGTCTCACGCCTACTATATAAGGGGCTGCAACATGTGATCGTGGTCATTTCAATTGAGAGTTAGGTATGAGTGACAAGGATGAAGAATGGATTTTGTGAGGAGTATTATTTGATCAAAAAAGATTCTTTTTTAGTCTCACCCTCAACTATATAGAGGGCTGCACCACGTGCTCGCGGTCATTTCAATTGAGATTCAGGTATGAGTAACAAGTATGAATAATAGATTTTTGAGGAGTATTATTTGATCAAAAAGAGTCTTTTTTTAGTCTTTTTTAGTCTCACCCCCTACTATATAAAGGACTGCAACACGTGCTCGTGGTTATTTCAATTGAGATTCAGGTATGAGTAACAAGTATGAATAATAGATTTTTGGGGAGTATTATTTGATCAAAAAAGAGTCTTTTTTAGTCTTTTCAAGTCTCACCCTCTACTATATAAAGGGCTGCACACTTGCTCGTGGTCATTTCAATTGAGATTCAGGTATGAGTAACAAGTATGAACAATCGATTGTTTAGCGGATGATTTGATGGAAAGAGAGTCTATTTAAGTCTCACGCCTACTATATAAGGGGCTGCAACAGGTGCTCGTGATGATTTCAATTGAGAGTTACGTATGAGCGACCAGTATGAAGAATGGATATTGAGAAGTAGTATTTGATCAAAAAAGAGTTTTTTCTAGCGTTTTTGAGTCTCACCGCTACTATATAAGAAGCTGCAGCAAGGGTTAGTGGTCATTTGCATATAGTGTTAGGTATGAGTAACAAGTATGAACAATGGATTTTTGAAGAGTATTATTTGATCAGAAAAGAGTTTTTTGTAGTCTGCTCGAGTCTGACGCCCTACTATATAAATGGCTGCACCACGTGCTGGTGGTCGTTTCAGTTGAGAATGACGTCGTAGCAAAAAGTATGAACAATCGAACGTTTAGCGGATGATTTGATGAAGAAAGAGTGTTTTTTCGTCTTTTTGAGTCCCGCTTCTGTTTTTATACAGACACGCACGCAGAGGTATGTGCTGTTGAGGTGTAGAAAGAACCGCGAACAAGAACGATGAGTAACCGATTCCGGTTATTGAAGTGTAGTCGTTTGGATAGCTTTTCCGATGAGGTTCCTATATGGTCTCTCAGTAAGGATCCTGCCTCATTTTCGTGTATATTTAAAGAAGTGTTCTAGCATATGACCGATTTAAAAGGAAACCGCAATGCCTGAGCGTTTTGTTTTTAACGCAAAGCGTTCCATTAGAGAATATCCCGAAACCCAAGCATTCACTAGAATACGATCCTGCCTTTACATGAAAAAATCATTAATGGTCTTTTCACATCTGCTTTCATAGTTTTCCACCTCGCAGAAAGTTCTGGGAAAAAGTCTGTGGAACCTAGAAAACGACCTTTTTTCAAGCTTTTGCGCGCTAGCAAATCTCACAAGAAAAGTCCTCACAGCACTCAAACAGAATGTTTCGTACCTATTCGCAATCTTCAGAAGAACTCCAAAGAAGTCTCGAAAGGTACCAGACTGCTTCCCGTCGAGTCTTTTTTCAACTGTTTCACACTATTATAAGGAGTTCTCTTCGGACCAAAAACCTCTCAAAAACTTTTCGAAACGTCTTTTTCTCTGGGCCCTCAAAAGTCTCAATAAGTCTCAAAAAATCTCAATGAGTCTCAATGATCCTCAATAAGTTTCAATAAGTCTCAATGAGTCTCAAAAAGTCTCAATGAGTCTCAATAATTCTCAATAAGTCTCAAAAAGTCTCAATGAGTCTCAATGAGTCTCAGTGAGTCTCAATAAGTCTCAAAAAGTCTCAGAATGGTAAATACGGCCGTACACGATCGCCGTATTACACCGTATACGACACGGCGAAATACGACCGTACACGATCGCCGTATTACACCGTATACGACACGGCGAAATACGGCCGTAATACGGTACATGGAAATACGGCGGATTTACGGCCGTTTACGGTCGTAAAATCATCGTATACGGCCGTATACGGCTGTTTCTGGTCGTTGTAATGCTCGTTCTGGGCACTGT